AAAAAAGTCGAAAATTCGTCACAATAAGGAGCGCTCGGACCCCAAATTTGTTGCAGATACAATCTATGGAGTTCAACGAGTGCCTCAACGCGAAAAAAGAAGAGAGCAAAAGGAAAGGTAAAAAAAGCGCACCATGGTCGGAGGCGCACCATGCCCCTGTCCGACACGAGATCGCCGATTACCATGGCAAACGCACAGATATCGGCAAGGCGTTTGCTGGAGATGGTATGGCACATACACAGGAGACCTTTGAGCCTATAGCAAACAGGATTGAACGAAAAATGATTGAGTTTCGGTAAAAATTGGGTCTGGGGGTCACTCACCACCAGAAAATGCAATTCCGAGCACACTATGGCTTCAAACGGCGACGCGATGACGGCTACAGTGCTGTATCAATTGGGTGAGTCAAATCCAGAAAAAAAAACCGGCTAGCAAACCTTGGATTCGCAATCGCGCGACACGTAGAGGTGGGGGGTGGCCCACCGGCCAAACAGTCGATATCTTCACCCTGAGAGGGCGCATCGGCCCCAAACAAGATGTAGACACATTCTACGGAGTGTATTGAGTGCCGTCAAACACAAAAAGGAGCAAGAGAAAAGGAAGATAGAAAGGCGCACCATGGTACCTGGGCCTTGAGACCGTGGGAATCTCAAATCGGCGCCGATTTGAACTGTCGGTGGCTGTGCAGAGACCGTTCTCAACGGTGGTCAGGCCGTTTTCCGTCAAACCGAGTTGGGATATGGGATAATATATCTGTATGATGATTATGAGCCCTTGACGGAAAAAAAAGAACAAAAAACGAGTGAATAAGAGCACATTTTCCGAACCGGCCCTATAAGCCATCACTCACCGGCATATCTGACCTCGTTCTCACTCATTCCTGGGCCGATTCGCTCCAAACCTCGTGTGCGTCCGTTGGGTTAGGTTAGGTTAGGTTAGGTTAGGTTAGGTTAGGTTAGGTTAGGTTAGGTTAGGTTAGGTTAGGTTAGGTTAGGTTAGGTTAGGTTAGGTTAGGTTAGGTTAGGTTAGGTTAGGTTAGGTTAGGTTAGGTTAGGTTAGGTTAGGTTAGGTTAGGTTAG